AATCGCAGAGGGGCGGTCCGCCGCCGCCTCTTCTCCCGGCTGGGGCGCCCCCGTAATGTCCGCCCCTTCACAGCCTCACACCCGGAAGCGGAGGAAAGCCGGGTGCAGCCGCCGGGTGCCGGGGTCCGCCCTCCGCGCGCAGAGTCCGGGGAGCCCGGCCCGGCCTGCCGACACTTCCTTTCAGAAAATGGTGCGCGGCGCTGGGGGAGGCGGAGGCGGCGCTCGGGGCGGGCGTCCTCCCGCTTGGGGAGTTGCTGTTTACCGGTGAGGTGGGGCGAGCGCTGGAGCTTCCCCTGGCGGGGAGGCGAGTGGCCGCCGAGAGGCGGACGGCGAGTGCACGCGTCGGGGCACGTCTGGGCGGCGACCTGGTCCCGAAGCCAAGGCCCCCCGCGGGGTGTCGACGTGCGGGGGGACCCGCCGAGGTCTCCGGACTTGGGGCTGTGAGCTGTGCTAACGACCTCTGTATACCGGGCGTCTGGACCTGGTGACCATGGACTCCTGCCCCCATAGCCCCCCAAAGAAACTTAGTGAATTTCTGCAATTTTCGGGAGCGTTCAGACGCTCTAAAAGTTAAAGAGGTCTGTTGTCAGAATAAAAAGATTTCGAATCACTGATAGAAATATTTCTCTGAGAACCCAGGGATATGGCGTGGGACCTGACAGATAATTTAATATTTAAGGAAACAACTAGGTTAGGATCTTCGTGGATTAATTGTAGCATATGTTTATCAAGATTTTAAAAATATCTCCAGCTCTGTTAGAGCTTGCAAATCCACTTATTCATTCCCATTATATATCTGAATTTTTGTTTGGCCTTTTACTTGCTTTTGAGGACAACATATCTATAAACCCCCTGGTTGAAGAATATGTGGAACTTGCGTAAACAGTAAGAGCCTTGTACATGTTACCATATAGTTGATGACTGTTGCCATGCTGTGTAAAGACAATGGAATCTTCCAACAGTTTTTGCCTTCGTTAGACTTCATTTATCTACTTCCATAACCTTCAATCTGTATATTTGGATTAACTCATTTGAATGCTAATTGCACACTGATACAGACTTTAGACAGTGCGGTTTTAGATTTCATTGATGGTTGCGATGTTCTGTATTTTAATTGAAGCTATTTTTATTTAATTGAAAATTTTCTGAGAACATCGTTGAAAACTCATTTCACATCACCGTATTCGGTTACACTTTATATGTGTGCAAAGTTCTGCTGTTTTAATTTGTGTAATTATGCCAACATTTCAGTTCAGGAAGGCTGTGAAATTAATGTCTCACAGTGTGTAGTGCGTTGTCGTTAGACGGTTTGACTTGAGCTATGGAAGCAGGCTAGCTTTTTGTATTGGAAAATTTATAGTGATGACAAAGGATTCGAGTTATGCATCTTGGTTTTTAAACTTTTGGGTAACTGAGAAGTGCAAACTTACTCTTGGATAGTTTAGTAACTCTCTCTTTACCCTATATGTGGCTTTAAAGCTAAGAATGAGTTTATTGGTTTATATATGTGGGGCAGTAAGACATTCTGGAAGGTAAGTTCAGGACCTATACAATCTTGTTTTCTATGCAGAAACAGTTATTTGTCACATTTAAATTTCAGAGAAATGAATTTCAAGTTTCAAAAGTCTATCAGGAAAAATTAAAAATCTACATGGTTATTGTTTAAAACAAATTTGCATCATTGAACAATCCAGATTCATAAATTTGTTTACTTTTTTTAAGTAATGGCATTATAGGTTATTAATTATAGAATTTAGTTGGAGCTTTCTTTTAGGAGATACGGAGGTAAACTGTAATTGAAGATGGTTTCTTTGGGACGAGAAAAGATGGATTTTTGTTTGAGAGAACTTTATAGGAGTTTTTACACCTTGGGGTTAAGGGATGTGGTTTTTAACACAGTGAATATTTGCTTTCAGGAGGCTAATTAACTTTCTGCATTTTTCCCACAGCCTGAAAAGGTCCTTTTTCATTATTTTGGATAGTTAAAAAAAGAAACAGCAAACCACCGGTCAATGTATCTTTCTAGTTCTTCCTCAAATCCCAACTGTCTTTTGTGTGTGTGTGTGTACGTTTTCATTTCCTCCTGAGATAATTTATACTTAAACACAGTTTTGATGTGGTAGAGTTTTTTTAAAAAGCAGATCTTTGAAAATTTTCATGTCTGAAATTTGATATTTGCATTTATTTTAGTTCTGAGAGACTATCTTGGTTATATTTTGGTGAGCTGTTTCGGGCGGTAGATACAAATTTGCAAGATACCTTCTATTTCTGTAAAAGCCACTCACAGTTTTGTTTCATTTAAAATTTTAAAACATGTTAATTCAGACCAGTGATTTAAAAGAATGAACTTTGGTGATTTTAAGTTTTGATTTGGATTTGTTAAATAGAGGTAAATGGATAAACACATATTGTTTTATTGAAACACAGCTATACTTTAATAAATACTGAAAGAATTTGATTTACTATTTGTTTCTTATATTGTGGTTAAAGCTTTGCTTTTACACTCTGCTGTTGCTAGACGGTCCCATCACTTTTCTTTGTATTAACATTTCACAACTCATCACATTCTTCTTTTTATTAATTTTTATTATTATAATGCTTTTCCTTTTTTTCTTTAATCTTATTATCTCTGTCTTTTAAAAACTTGTTCTCTAACTTTGTTTTCCATTTTCTCTTTTTACTTTTTCCATACAGTGTTGTTACAGATCTTATAGCAGTCGGTTTAAAGGTAGGACTCTTTTACTATCCTTTCATAAGCTTTTTTAAATCTTAGTTTCGGCATTTTTTTTTTTTCCAGTGGTGATATCATCTCACCTGTTCATAAAATTATCTTTTTTACTGTGTGATAATAGTCTTTCATTTTTATTTAGCTCCAAAATAAGTGGACCTGTATTTGATTTTGGATTTTACATATTTATAAAGAGGGGCTACAATATTATTGTATATCTAAAATGTGAGCAAAAAGTTTAGCCCAAAGTTTTACTTGAACTCTCAGAGTTTATTTGTTTGATTTTGTTTTGTTTTAGCAGTTAAATATAGCCTAGGCTGTATTTCCCTATCATGTTTGTTCTTGTATTTTCTCTTGGATGTGTTTTTGAGTAATAAAATAATAATAGCAGCTAAAGTTTCTTCAATTCCTAGTATGTGCCAGCTGCTGTACACCTATTTCACTAATTGTAACAGTCCTTCAAGGTAGGTATTAATAAATTCCCATTTTAGAGATGGAAAAATAGGTTCAGAAAGTTTGTTTTCAAGGTGTGGTGCACCAGAGTTCAAACCCGTGTCTTCCTGGTTCCAAACCCTGACTTTTTTTTTTTTTTAATATAACTAGCTGCCAGTAATAAGGGTGCTGTCTAGAAAGTGAACAGGAGAGCTGGATAATTAATATTTTACAGTAATAACTCTTTAAGTCACATTAGTTTTATCAGTCTTCTCATTTATTGAATTCTAAAATATAAATCAAGTAAGCAATGTTCACCAGTATGAGGCTTTTAAAATATAAATGGGTGTTTTAAGGTTTCCTTTAGCAATTTGATATTTGATATACTGAGTTGAGAATCTAGTTCTAGAGGCCACTTATAGTTTGGATTACTATAGAAAGCAAAAATAAATAATTCATGTTTATATTATATGTATTTTATGTAAAATTGTTTCACCACTTTCTGTCCTTCATCTCTTCATCATCTCTTCTTGCTAGCAATTTCAGCACTTCCACATTTGCAGTTACTGGATCTGGTGGTGGTGCTCATCTTCTAATACCTTAAAAAATAAGCATAATAGCTTATGAAACTAACAATAGGATTCTGAGATTAACATAATAGGGAACTGCTGCTTATACTATCTTTTGAAGTTGGGTGGAGTTAGCTTGCTTTGACAAACTTTGAACATGTTTTGTGAATTGAAAAAAAATGGAGGAACCTCTTTAGTGAGATATGCTTTTCTTCTTCTTCTCCCCCCTACCCCCCATACTTAAGTCACTTTCTTTTGGGAATGACGCTAGGAGATACAGAAACTGTAGGCTCATATCTAGGATCACTTTTGGTGTCTCTGTAGGTACCTGTGAGGGAAAGGATATTTAAAGTGAATGTTGTGTGAAAAGTAATTTGTGATTCTAGAGTTTATCTGGCAAAAATGAATACATGAGACATTTAAAATAAAACTTACATTTTTGAGTTGAGAAATTATGCTTGAAGGGCTATTATGCCTTTTTTACTACGGGGGAAAATATATCTTAGTGATAAAGAAAAAGATTAGGCACGGCATTCAGATTTGAATACATGATTTGGATTTCTGACTACCTGTTTAGCAGCAAGCGCTCTAAAAACAAAGATCAGATCCTACTCTGAAGAAAAAATAAGCTGATTTAGTTGTTTCACTAGGCAGTCTATATTTGTATAGACTTAAATACTGGAAATGTCTGTAAAATTACTCATTATATGGAGAATTTCTCCTAAGATTGTTCTGCTTCTTTCTTGGATCCCATCCAAGGAGTTTAGTTACCAGGTAATAGGCTAATAAGGCTCATAATTCATCTAGATTGAATAAACCAAAATCAGCAAATTAGAAATCCTTTAAGAATGTCAGTTACTTACCTTCCTCCGCTATCTGAATATGATGATACAACACATAGTTTTAGCCAGTGGCAAGAGTGGATTTCACTTATGGTCCATAAGTTGTTTTCCCGGATTCAGAAAAATAATATGAGTTTCATTTTTAAAGAATTAAAAATATCCTTAAATATGAAATCCTTTATTTTAGGGAAAGAAAGCTGAATTGTTTTTAGAGATGACTGATAATGAACGCGTGTCAAGAACTTTATTATACCAGATAAATCAAACTGTCAGCATGGTGGGTAACATAGCTTTTTGTGTGTGTACCTAAGTGTATTTTAAATTTCCAGCTTATACTAGTTTATCTGAAACTCAGGTATTTCCCATATTTGTGGTTATTTTTCCAAAGTACTATAGTAATTACTAGAACAAATGATTTTTGGGCACCTGGGTGGCTCAGGCTGTTGAGTCCAACTTTGGCTCAGGTCATGATCTCAGGGTCCTGGGATTGAGCCCCCTATTGGGCTCCCCCTGGAGTTTGCTTTCTCCCCTCCCTCTCCCTCTTCCCCCCCGCCCATTCTCTCTCTCTCTCTCTCCTTTTCTCTGTCTCATAAGTCGGGGAAGGGGGAGAGGAAGAGGGTGAGAAGCAGACTCCCTGCTGAGCTGGGAGCCTGATGCTGCTCAGTCTCACGACCCCGAGATCATGCATGGCCTGAGTCAAAATCAAGAATTGGCCACTTAACCGACAGCCACCCAGGCTCACCTAAAATATGATTTTTTAAAATGATGATACTCCATATGTTTTCTGGGTAGTCTTCCTATTTTAAATGATTAGATGAGTATAGAAAAACTCATGTTTAGTGGACTAAAATTGGCTTCTAATAATGATCATGCCTGTCAATATAAAGGAAAGAACGAAACAGCATATTTAAATTAATTTTGAAGATCAGCTTTTTATTTGCTTGACCAGAGCTTAGCAAAGTACAGCCTGTGGACCAAATCCAGCTTGCCACCTGTTTTGTAAATAGTTTTGTTGGAACACAGCCATGCTAATTCCATATTGTCTGGTGACTTTCACAATCGAATGGTAGAGTTGAATAGTTGTAGCCGTTGATCTTATGACCACAAAGCCTAAAATATTTACTTTCTGGCCCTTTTCAGAAAAAGCTTGCCTGCTGCTGTGCTTGAGCTATACAAAATATAGAAGGCCATTGCTGGAATTTTTTTTTTTAATTGGGCTATAATTTACATAGAGTGAAATGCATAGTTTTCAAGGATACAGTGCAATAAATTTTATCAAATGTATCCACCTGTGTTTCCTACTCCCCAGTCAAGGCACTAGAAAATCACTGTAAAATGTTCTTTGTTGTCTTTTTCCAGACTCATTCTAGAAAACTGTTCTGATTTCTATCATCATAGATTATTTTTTCCTGTTTCTGAATTTAATATAAATGGAATAAAATATTTACGCATCGTATATACAGTGTAAGCTCTTTGATGTCTGGCTTCTTTTACTCAGCAAATGATTATTTATAGATTGATTTATTTATTTTAGGGGGGGAGGGGCAGAGGAAGAGGGGGCCTCACTATCTCGGCCCCACCTCATGACCCTGAGATCACCACCTGAGCCATAACCAAGAGTCCCTTGCTCAGCTGGTCGCTCAACTGGCCGACTGAGCCAGCCAGGCGCCCTTCAGCAAAATGATTTTTAGATTCAACCATGTTACATGTGTCAGTAGTTCATTATTTTTATTTCTGAGAGTATTCCATTATGTGAATGTATTACAATATTTAAAATGTATTCTCATGTTGGTAGATGTTTGGTTCTTTCCAGATTTGGGCTATAATGAATAAAGCTGCTATAAGCATTTGTTTAAGTCTTTGGGTAGATGTAGGTTTCATTCTACAGCATAGGGAGGAGTAGAATTAGATAATGTGTATCTTTAAATTGTAACAAACTCGGTCGCCTGGGTGGCTCAGTTGGTTAAGCGACTGCCTTCGGCTCAGGTCATGATCCTGGAGTCCC